GAAATCCTACGGAATTTCAAGAAAAAAATTCTTTACCGAAAATATACTGTGTGGCTGAAAATGTTTCTATAATTTTTTAACGAAGCCTCAATCAACAAATTAGTATCTTTGATTTTCGTCTTATTGTGGCCTCTAGAATCTCCCAGTAAAATTTCTCACTAGATTTTGAAACATTTCAAAAATATCTAAAATTAATGACAAAAGATAGATCACGAATGTTAAAAAATATTTAAAAATCATCGGATTTCGAGAGACTCGATTTAATAAATTATTGAATTTATCTAGCGCGCAATGTTTAATTTTAGTTCAAAGGAAATTGGACAGAGTCGACGACATATTTCGATCGCCAAGCACGGAGGGACAGTTTATTTTGCTTGGACCGCAAAGGCCAAAAATCAAATTTTCCGTGTCAAAGGCTCCCCACGTGCGAAGCACGTTTGGATAGCGTGAGCATCACGGGACCCATTGTAATCATACGTTGAACTGGCGTGCTTACATGTTTCTAGAACCGCGCGAGTCCTCGAGTCAATGGAACAGGGAAGCATATAATTATTCGTGATACATCTGCACTCGTAACGAGTGGAATTACCGCTGCAACATTTTCCTCGAACAACAATATTAAACGCCGCTGCTTTTTATGCAAGAATTTTAATAATCAACCGACACGAACGCGACGAGCTACTTTCATCGTTCCACGACTGTTCACGCGGGCACGTGGCCCCTCTCGAATCGAGCACGCAAGATGTACTCCACTTCCAGCTGAGATGGATTGAGGAAGGAAAGGGTTTTCCCACGAATGAAATCAGAATGCAATCAGAAGAATTTACGATGCCTTAACAATATATCCCCACATTTGATGCAGGAAAATTGGCATACATTATTTTTTCCTTTGATTTCAATCCAACTTACAAATGTATACTCATTTCTTGTTTCTTTTATTATTGTTCGTGTCATCGTACGATATCAGGTTTCTTTTACTAGATCTAGCTTTTTAAAACAGTTCACCCCCTCCTTTAGTAAGGGTGACTAACGACAAGAATATCATGCACAAAATTATAACATAAATTAAATTTACATCGACCCAATTTTATAATGTTTTTTGAGCTAATTTTTGTACCCCTTCGTATCAACTTTGAGGTTTGATTTCACCCTATAGATATGAAAATGGAATAAAAAAATGTCAAATATTTTTCTAAGCAATCCTTGGTGGGATATCTAAATACGTCTCATCGTAAATAAATGTACGAAGTGTTTTCATTCGTGGTCTGTTGTCCGAATAAAATTCTGTCCATCTCTGGGTGCAACGAGCGCCGAGAGTGTGCACAGCACGTGCGTGTCCGTGCCTCGTTACGAGTGTACAACGCGGTCTCCTCCACTCTCGCATTGTATTTACGTGTCTACGGTCGGTACAATGTACGATCGTTTCCACGTGGTCTATACACGTTTGAGGTTATCCCACTCGTATCTATGCGCGAGTACGCTGGCTCTCGAGTACGTGTACCTCTCCGCCGCGATAGAACACACAGGGAGACACGCCTATGCCCGCCTGGAGAGCAGGTGCATCGGCCTGAACCACAACGAGGAAAATTATTGATTTTCCTTTATCCACGGAGCCGGTGGTTTCCCGTGCTAGCATGGCGAGGGAGCAACGCCGTCCCTTGGCACGACTGGGACGCCCTGCATTCGAAGACAATGGCCTTAGGGTCAGTGAGCTTCGTGCCATCGTGACACCGTGAAAATCGAACAACCAGGCACGAAATCTTATCAACCGGCCTACCGCAACCTTTTTTTCTAGTTTCAAGTTCGGCTCGAACGCGATTACGGAAGATATTCCGCGGCACGCACCGCTGGTAATTATTGTTTTCGTTACGAGCACGATCTAGGGATCGATATAGGTTACGGAAAAGCCTTGCACGTCAGAACGATATTAACCCCTTGTTATACAATGACGAGTCTCACTCGTTATAAGTTCTCGATGTCAAGTTTCGTAATCATGAGGCTACTCGCCATCGAATTTTATACAGGGTGTTCAGCCACCCCTGGGGGAAATTTTAATGGAAGATTCTGGAGGCCAAAATAGAACGAAAATCAAAAATATCAATTTGTTGATGGAGGCTTCGTTAAAAAGTTATTAACGTTTAAAGTTCCGTCCGTACTGAATTTTTTTCTCGAAACTGGGTAGGATTTCGGGGGTATATCTATTGACCAAAAATGATTGCAATTGACCTCCGCAACTGAAAATAATTTTTTTAGAACGATATGAAATTTTTTAATTTTGTCGAAAAATTTCACACCTTCTCGAATTTCTTTCTAGAAAATGGGTAGGATTTTTTAGTTATGTCTATTCACCAAAAATGATTGTAATTGACCTCTGCAATTGAAAATAATTTTTCCAGAACGATCTTAAATTTTTTAATTCTGACGAAAAATTTTATACCTCCTCGAATTTTTTTCTAGAAAATGGGTAGGTTTTTGGAAGTATGTTTATTCACCAAAAATGATTGCAGTTGACCCCTGCAATCGAAAATAATTTTTTTAGTACGATTTGAAATTTTTTAATTTTGTCGAAAAATTTCACACCTTCTCGAATTTCTTTCTAGAAAATAGGTAGGATTTCGGGGGTATGTCTATTCACCAAAAATGATTGTAATTGACCTCCGCAACCAAAAATAATTTTTTTAGAACGATTTGAAATTTTTTAATAACTTTTTAGCGAAGCCTCTGTGAAATTGATATTTTTGATTTTCATCTTATTTTGGCCTCTAGTACTCCCATTGAAATTTTTCCCAAGGGTGGCCGAACACCCTATATATTAAAATCGACACATTTTTACATTTACGAGGTATTCATAAAACAAATCATTCCTTGTACGAACAAATTTAAACAAAATTAAATAATATAGGTTTGACCAATTATTTGAAATTAAGTAGTACGTCAAGGGGTTAAATCCAGGGTGGAACCAGGAGCCTAGGAGGGGCGAATTCTTTACAATCTATTTATTCATATTTTTAGAGGGGGCAATTACCACCCCCATTTCTTTTTTCTTTGGTTCTGAATTTTTTCCCTTCGTTTAAAGTTATTTGAGATTGAATAAAAATTGCAATATAGAACCTCGATTATGACACGGGAATTGTGGGGGATGATCGTTAAGCCACAAGTAAAGCAGAGTACAGCGGTGGATATAGCAATTACTCATTGATTATCTCATTTGTATTACCATAATTGCAACACCATCATTGTTTGCTTTTAGTCATCGTGAACGAACCAGTATAAATAAAACTAACAATCAAAGTGAAATAAACGAACGTATTTTGTATAGTTTGAAAAATAAGCAATTACTACCAATGAATTCTTTAAGTTATTTAGCGATTGTTCTTTGTAAATCTGGTCACATTTAACTATTCTATTCCTACCCACAGATGCGGTTGCAATATTTAGACCAGCACTCCCTCGGTTAAATATACATGTATTAAATGACTCCCGGAACGAATACCGTGAACGCAATTGCCAATCGATAATATCGATACACCTTGAACACAATCGTAACTTAAGATGGAACTCTATCTCTGACCGAGTCCTACCTCAACGTCCATCTTCAATTACAATACATGAATTCGAACGCGACACTCGTATTACGCAGTAAATTATCCGTGCATTTTTTTTCTCATAAGAAATCGAAACAACAATACCGACTGATATCATCCTATCTAATCAGTACGTTTCACGAATATGCAATTTGCTTCCTACATATGTTTCAGATATTTTTAATTGACAAGCACGACTATTGTTTTCGTGCACTGTATCGGGCGACAGTCATCGGTTTTTGTTTCCCTGATAATCATGGGAAATCGATGATTCATTCGTTACACATTTTGTTTAATAATGAATAAAATATAGAACAATATGATAATACTAGTTGTGAAACAATTATAAATTCTGTAAAGGAATTTTATCTCGTGTTGATATTATAGTGTCACTATCTCATTATCGGTATTATAGACGGATTAAAATTCATTACTCACGACTGAGATTGATCCACTCGAGCATTGTCTGGTTTATTCATTTTCACGAAAACTTTATTAAAAATGTCAAATTGCAATAGATATAGCGTGACTATTTCTTACTATAGGTTTTTATTGGCAACCACAGTTATAGTCATTTTATCTGCTCGGCTTAACGAAACTATTTTTATTAACGAGCACCAAGCATTTTTCTTTGGAACGTCGAAGAAAAACGAGATTATGTTAGACGGCTTCTTCGAGAGGAATGCAAGGCTGACACACGAAGTTGTATGTCAGATTTCTCTGAACGAAGAAACAAAAGTGAAAACAATAAATTTTTCAATAAGTTTATATAGAAAAAACATGTAAATGAAAAGAACTGATATTAATTGCTTAAAAGGTGTAAGGTATTATTCAATGCGAATAAATTATCGTCACAGACTGTGAGACAAAACAGAACAACGCACAAAAATAATATTTACTATTGATATTCAATTTAGAAGTTTTCGAACGATCGAAAAAAAATTTCTCGGATTATCTTTCGAAACGCACGAGATCCTTCTGTCAGAGTCAAATTCCTTATCAACATAACTCATACTACTACTCCGACACTAATCCAAACGAGCCCGCAAAATCTGAATATTTTACCAATGGGAGTACATTATGCATGTACTCTTATGTAAATTTAAACAGGTTCCATCGTTACAGTCGGAGATGGGTAAAATTCTAATTCAAATAAAAGTTTCGAGTAACGTATATTAAAAAATAAAACAGAACGACAATCACACGATGAAATATTTCACGTGACACAAATAGAAATTTGACCGATCGAATAAACGTCGCGAACAAATTCCTATACGAATGCTTTCGTTGGTTATCAATTGTCCGATTAAAATATTGCTGCAATGTTTCCAACCGTTCGAAGAATCCATGTACCGTAATCTCGTTTTTCCTCGACGTTCGAAGAAAAATGCTGTCGTTAATAAAAATAAGACTCACCATTTTGGATAGAGTAGTCCCACTGGTCCTCCATTTGAAATTGAGGTCCGCGAAATTGAGATCCGAGTAAAGTTTGCACCGTGTCGTCTTGTCTGCTTCTGGTCCTCGATTAAACCGAACTCGTTACCGTGGCGCGGTTTTCTCGAATCGCGAGAAATTGTTACCGCGTGCTCCGCGATCGAACGCACCGACGATCGATTTGAACTCGAAACGGGATCGAGCGACTGTTGACAGCTCGACCTTAAAACTCGTTTTCTTGCCCCTTTTGTTTTATACTTTGCGTTTAGAGGAGTCGACCCGCGAATAGGCGAACTGCTCGATCGTATCGTTGTCGATATTTACGAACGTACGACTTCGAAAGTATTTCGAAAGCGTTACTATTCTTCTTTGTTGTGCAATACGAGCCGAAAGGTCACCTAACCCACGCGAAATCGCTCACGAATGTGACGCCGGCCGGCCGATCGCTGGATTTTATACGCGGGCCAGTCACGTGACCTCTCACTATGCTGGAGAGAACGACCGCGCATGCGCGTGACATTGTTTACACGTGCCCACGAACCATGCCCTACCATGTGCACGTTAGCACGTGCTTCGTTATGATCGACGTCGATAATTTTGAAAACTCGCGACTCCCCAAATGTTTACATATCGATTCCATAAACCTCTTCAACGAGTTTCATGACGTTTCTAACGAGTTTTCGAGCCTTTATTTACGATTCTACGTACGTAACCGATCTAATTGGGATACTGTTTGCAGCGCGGTTTCATATTTGAAGGCTGCAGCTTTAGTTGCACCGTAAGCTCAGGATGAGCAAAATTGTAACGATAAATTTACAGGTTTCGCTATTTGCAGACAATTTATAAATTTATATTTTTCAAATGTCTTCTTTCAATTTTCTACAAATTTAACTAGCGATTTATTTAATTCTATAATAGCGTATAAATAAATGGCTGCGTTTGTAAATTTCTACACACTTTCTAACATGTTTATAAATTATTCAATTTGCGAATTTATTGCAACTTTCTAGATAATTTCTAGAACACCTATGTTTTAGATTTATTTAGTTGCTTGTAAAAAATTTTTAGAGCAAACAGCACACTACATAATATCCTGTACAAATGTTCATATTCGATCGAACATATTTAATATTTTAATAAACTATATTTGTCATGTTTGATAAAGTATAGTTGCAACATTATTCTTTGTCCCTATTTTCGAGCCCTCTTCGGTACTACCTTAAAATAATTTATTATTTACATCAAGCATACGTAGTCGCAACAATAAATATGGATGTAACCTTTGACACGTCACGCGTTCACATAATTTAACAAAGTAAACGATTTTGGTTTTTCTATGCTATGTTTTATCGCTATTATGCACACTTGATGTAAATAATCGAATATGCCTATCCTTGACTCCAATGCTCCGTCTTACGAGGATTTCTTTCCTAGGAGAACGTCGTCGCTCTTGTTTCAAAGGGCGACTAGCGCACGTCTATAAATTTTACTTAATCCACCGTATTTGTGTATTTCCACACTTAGCCGATAAGACAAAATAATGAGAATTTTATCTTTACTGCCGCGTTAAGAAAATTTTTACGCATAAAACAAAAAAAACGACTTTTTCGGTTGTAAGTCAGACGCGTTCTTTGTTAATCTTGATGACACGATAAGGTAACATAATACCCGGCAATTGTCATACCTTCGAGAAATCAAATACGTCACGAAAAGCTCTGCTAAGCACTTTTAATTCGACATCGTAACGAGTTCCTTTGTCGTTTCGACATTTAAAATACAGCGTAATTTTAAAAATTCGCGTAAGTAGCTTTGTACAAGTTCTACAACATAATCGACCATCGACATCGATTGATAACCGACGAGAGGAGAGATTAGATTAGTCGAACATGACTTCTCCATCTCGTTTCAAGTAGTTTCCATTCAACGATTTCCAAAATGCAGTTTACGTGTTTTTATTTATCAATATTATGTTCATGAAAGCTATTTTGTATACGAATCAATTTTTATGTGTGTGAATGTCTTACGAATAGATACGAAAAATAAAAATTTTTATAACACTTATTAAACAATATAAAATAATTCTAGATTAAGTTACGTGTGATACTAATCCTCACGTATATTTGGATTACTTTTACACCTAATTTTTCTACGTTTACACTCAGCTATTTTCACTTTCATTTCATTTTAGTTCCTCATTATTTCGTTTCCATTTTAACGCAGTACCATCTTGCTTGAATTGTTTCGAGGATGACTCCATACTACCAATCGAAAGTGTTTACGTGTAGTTTATGAATAATAAACGATTAGTTATGACTACATTCGATGTCATTGAGTTTTCTGAACGATGCTCAATTGTTTACATTCGAAGTAGTTCTCTTTGATATGAATTTTTGTTTTCTTTGCAGATACAACCAACTTCGGTATAATGAATTAATATCAATGTATACTCCCAGATACATACATATAATACCTATAATATTTAGTTCGTAATTTAACCTTTAGTTGAATTTAAACACGATTTTCAATCAAGCGTCACTAACTAATAATTGCTTTACAAATAGTTTTTAACAGATTATAAGTAAAATATATTAGGGAAGATCATTATATTGATAATTGACATCCAGTTTATTCTCTATTCTGGAAAGTTTATTCCAATAAAATTAAATAAATTTTGAACGATCTTTTCAATAAGAATTTTCTCGAATATCGTCCGACTCTGTCTAATTAATAAGATCGTTGCACTCCGTGAACAATCACGATCTGATAACAGGGCTGATCGCATCGTGTGAATCACAGTGATATCCTTCTTCTGGAGTCGAGGACCGGGACATTCCCACCATACTTTCACCACTCAGCCGTCTAGCACAGACTTATGTATCTGGCTTGACGAGTTTTTTCCTGACGCGTAAATCAGCGTAAAGTACATCTTTCGTATCTCGATCGCCTAACAAGATTTTTGCATTTATGACTCAATTTTTAATCGCGCGTTACGTTTGATTGATCATTAACCGGAAGGCGACTGGCTTGCTCGCACGTATACATCAGTTATAAATAATTACAGGCAACGTGGAATATTCATTCCGTGCTGTTGCAATTATATCTTCGATTGCATCGTTGAACCACTACGAGCGGGCAAACAAAATAATGAAAACAAACATTAAAATCTCGGTGCAGCGAACGTTGGACTGTTTTATCGCGAATGTAATGAAATTTTTTTTTGAACACTAGCCTCGAAGATTAGTCTACGATTTAAATAGGAATTTATAACCTCGAAGTCTAGAAAAGAGAACCAAACGATTGGAATGGCAACGATAATAACATAAATTGTTTGGAACGGATGTGTATCGAAATGTGGAGGGATGAAATGTGTAAACTTGGAATTCCACGCCCGCATATCCGTTCCATTGGAATATTTTAAGACGAAGGCGGTCACTTCCGAAGTACTGCGAAGTGGATGGTATAATTAGAATTGTGTATAATAAAAATGGTTTGCATGCATCGCGCGCGGACCGCCATGGAAGCCGAAAATGAGTACTTCGACGAGACGCAGAATATCTCAAACATCAGAAAAAAAAAAGCAATGGCCGTGGCACGATTCACAAATAGCGATTTTAACACTCGACGGACTCTTCTGGCTCCGCGTTGTCCTCTTTTTAGTAAAATTGAATTAAAATGCGCGCAAAACGCGGGAGAAATGCGGCGTTCGATCTCCTTTCGCGTACAGACGAGACGCCAACGAGGAACTCGCGTCGAGGAGCTCGTGCCACTTTAATTTCATCAAGCTCGGATAACATTGTCACGTCAGTGTTATGTCATGGAACGTGCCCGATGTTCGCGTCGTCGTTTCGTCTTCATTATACCAATAAACCAGCCACTCGCACTCCGATGCCCCCAATGAAAATTAATAAATTCCCCAGCAAGTTCCATCATAAAACGTCAATGGGACGTTCACTCGTCTGCGTCCTGTTTTCTTTCACAATTTTCCACTCGACCATCCGTCGAAGCCAAAATCTTCGATGTCAATACAAATTTATTAAGTGGGGAACAAATATAGGATAAATCATGCAGTATTTTTTCACTGAGAAACTTTTCGATCTTGTAAATCTCGATGCAAGAAAGTTTGGACTCGTACCATTTAAAGTAAAACGATTCCAGGTATTCGTTCATCAAAAATGGTCGAAAGAAATGACGAAGCTGCACGAGTGGCTCGTATATGGCAACGGAATTATTCTACCAATGGTAATGACATATTATACAAATCAGAACGCTATAATTGAAGTATGATTCTAAGATGCATACGAAATTGTCGATGTATAAAAAACGTGACCAAAACATACAGACAAACGTTAATTTTTTTTTTTAAATATCAATCCAATCGATGAATTTCGATATATTACGACCACGAAAAGGACGCCATATTGAATTTGTCATTCCAGGCGAAAAAATATTTAGATACGAACCAGGAGATCGCACAGCAAAAAATTTGTCTATTTTCGTTTCTGAATTCACGAATGTACACAGTAATAATCTCGAAAAATGGTCACGTCGACGCGTCACTAACGAACGAACGCTTCTATCGCGATTTACTTCGCATTTTAATTCCTCATGCCGGCGAACGAGAACCGATATTCCGTTCGAATTCTTTTCTAACTCTTACGTAATCATCATTTCGCTCGACCTTCACGGTAATTAAATCGTTCCGTATTAACCAGCGATTATGGAATGAAAAATCGCGAAGACATTGCGACTGCATCAGCGAACGTGTCGAGTATTCGTAGATCAATAATTTTTTTTTCCTACGTCGAGTGCAAAAGCAATATTATCGTTTATAATAATAAAACGTTTCGTCCTTGGGTTCAATATTCGTCGATGAAAATCATTACGATTCCGCGAAAGAATCGTACGATAGTGAAATCATCGTATTGTTTACTTTGTCTCCGGTACGATCCGTCGTTGCAAGCGATTTTCATTCGATCTTTTATCATTCCTTTCCATTGCCTGGTTCGCGAAACGTGACCAAATATTTCCACATTATGATCGAAACGATTTGTGCAAACCGCGATTCGCACTAATTTGGTTAGTATAGTCAAGTCGATCCCGCGAGCCTGTTGTTATGCGCGTTAGTAATTAGCGTGACTACCGTGTGCGTTGAAAATGCTAATGAGATACGCAACAGCGTTCTTTGGACTATTTCCAGCGTCAACTTCGTTTACTTTCGCAACGTGTTTGTTGTGTGCGACGTTTGCTCCTTTTATTTCGCGATGGAATACGCGACACGACGATTATCTGACAATTATTATTGGAATGAGGAAACGGGTCATGGACGTTGATGATGATCAAGTTATCCAACGCGATGTGTCGAGTAATTTTTCTTATTGTTCGATACCTCCGCGAATAAATTATCCTACTATTCAGAGGTGCGAAATGTTTCTTTCCTCGTTGATGAT